TATGTTTCTCTCCTCCTCGTCTAATCCATGACCGACTGAATAATGTGATTTGGTGTATCTCCAAATGGCAGAGGACCAAGCTAATAAGTCAGCAGTGACAGGGGAGCGAAAAAGAAGAGCGAGACGTGGCTATGACAACAACAACAACAACGACGACGACGACAACGACAACAACCTCGTACCACCATCTTCTGGTTGAGAGAGAGAACAGTACATCACTGAGGGTGCACAGAGTTAGAGGGTTAGGATTTCTTGGTTGAACATCTTGAAAAAGAACCACAAAACAAGCAACCAGGGCTGGCGCCATATTGGAATGGTAGGTTTAGAGAGAGTTGGGAAAATCAGCTGTGTGCATGTTTTGTACCAAATAAGTCTTGGGTGGTCTGTTTAGAAGAGCAGATCACCAAATATGGATGTGACTGCAACAACAGCACATTGAAGCCACATTAAGATCCAATCGGTTAAACCACATTAAGGACGGGTCATGTGTCCTCACATGGAAAGCAGTGTGAAAGCAGATGCATCTCCGGCCACATTAAAAGATTGCCCAGTCAGCGTTGTGCATAGAACAACAAACACAAGTTATACACAGATCCTTTTTCTTTGCCAGACGACTTAAAGGAGGGTTTGAACTCCGTGCCCCAAACTGCAACGGCAGTCCTTTTTCTCCAGCTGCACAATTGATCACAAACAAGTTTTCTTTCTTTTCAGGCAACTTCTACAGTTTGTCACAGATGCAAAGAAATGTGTGTGTGTGTGTGTGTGTGTGTGTGTGTGTGTGTGTGTGTGTGTGTGTGTGTGTGTGTGTGTGTGTGTGTGTGTGTGTGTGTGTGTGTGTGTGTGTGTGGGGGGAGACTAAATGTGCTTAAAAAGCAGAAAGCAGCATCATTGCACTAACATCACAGCAATGGTCGCCCCACAGGTTGTACTTTTTAATGTCATCCGCCCCTGCCTTCACCCTTGCAGTGGATTTTTCAGTGGAGTATTTCCTGCTGCTTTCCTTTATCCTCTAACCCCGACTTCTTGCAGAAACTTTACAGGGGGGCTGGCGGGAAAAAAATGGAGCTGAAGTCGTTTGCATTCAAACATGCAGCTCACCCCGAAAATTTCATAACATTTTCACAAACTTTGTGATGCCATCTGTAAGCCCTTTACAACTGCCGTGTCATGTTATAACAAGTCAAAGAAAGCCACATTTCCAGTTAAAGGACTTCTACTCTGAGAAAACCCAACGGTCATAGAAGGAACCTGTCAGTGCTTTTGTGGACGAGCACAGACTTCCTTCTTGAACTACCTGTGGGAAAAAAAGACTAATTGCAAGACAGATGCCTTTATACCTCAGGTGTGTGTGTGTGTGCGTGTGTGTGTGTGTGTGTGTGTGTGTGTGTGTGTGTGTGTGTGTGTGTAAGCAATGTCGGTCCTTTCATGTCAAGGTAGTCACGTGGGGCATGGCCAGAGGGATACTGGTGCTCTGACACGGGGAGCAGGGATTGGCTATTGCATGCCAAAAGGCTGCTTTCTCATTGGCTGACATTTGCCTCCAGGTGGTTTTGTCACACTTGGTTAGTATTTGATGAAGTTCCCTGTGCCTTTGATCTGAAGTAAAAGTGGGCGTTTACATACACACACAAGCACACACAGGGAAGTACTACAAATACACACACACCTTCACACACAAACTTTCTTTCCTTTTGGACTAATTCCCCAAAGAATTGTAAAGGGCCTAAATACACACATGTGCAGACTATATGGGCCCTCAAAATTACACAATACATGCAGTACATGTCCAATATGCCAATATGCAAACACTTCAATGCCATATAATTCTGTGTTATCCCTCTTAGGCAAAAACCCACTCGTATAATAACACTCAGTTCTACACAAACATATCGGGGAGAATTTGTCCATCACATCTCTTTAAGTTCAAAGTATTGTTCCAGACTAAAAGAAAATTTGAATTCAAGGTTCCAGACGTTTTTCATTTGTTATCAAAGTGGAGGCCTCTGATGTTTTGTTAAAGCGTATCTCAGATTTCAAGTATTGACAAGCAGGGAGGGAGTATAAAATACCTTTCATCCATTTTCAAATCTGTCAAACTTATGCAGATATTGCCCATCAAGCATTTATTTCAAATATGACCCGTGTCTGTATCCTGCTGATCGTACAGAGGCCTGTGCATTATGTGCATGTATGCTAAGACACCTTGTTCCCACACTTCCTCAAAGCCCCGCCCCTACTTAAAAAAAACAGTCCCTAATGTTCTGGGCTCTGCCACAACATGAAGGCTGGTTGGGTTTGTGGGTAGGAGATGGGGGCATAGAGGAAGACAGAGAGAGAATGATGGTGGAGGTGTGGAGGAGAAAAAGAAAGTTGGATAAGGATGTGGTGTGGGTGAGAGGCAGGAAACACGCTCTCTGTAGCCCAGAGATGAGGCGTCTTTATCTGGCACAGAGGCAGCTTCACAGGCCCCTCAGTGGAGAATGGAGATTGGGAGGTCTGGGGTTGTGTGTGTTCAGTTTTACCAGTGAACAGAGCACCCCCCCCCCCTCCTTACACACACACACACACACACACACACACACACACACACACACACACACACACACACACACACACACACACACACACACACACACACACACACACACACACACACACACACACACACACACACACACACACACACACACACACACACACACACACACACACACACACACACACTTCAATAGCAGCCAGACTAAAACACCCCACCTCACACACTTTCTACTGTGCCCACCTCCATCCCTTTTCCTGCTCTCCTGCTTTCTTTTGATGCAGCTCAAATGTATGGAACAATCTTAACGTCTGATCTTATCTCCTATGATATTCTGTTTCTCATTATTTCATTCCAACAGCTTCCACTGTCTACTCCCAAAACATCACCCCCATCCCCCTGTATCCCTCTCTGCCTCTCCCTTAAACGCATGTGTCTTTGATGGGAATCCATTCATGGATTTAATGGATTTCTCTGGCCCTTTTTTTCCAGGATCTGGAAGATGTGTTCAAAAAAAAAAAAGGAAAAGCTGGTCTGCCCGGGCTCTGCTTCCAAGAGCATGGTGGACTGCAGAGGACAGCATTTCTGTCTGCATCAAAAGAATGAGAAATTTTCAGCTTACAAAACAGGCCGGACGAGTCAATATGGATCTGAGAACTGGCTGACTTCAATACCATGTGAGGGGGGAAAAAAACAGGGCAAAAGGAGATAGTGAAACTTTTCCCTGCCCACTATGAAGTCAAACTTGGAGACAGATTAGAAAGTAGAAAAAGAGGGGGGAAAGTAAGATGTTCAACCTTTGGTGAGTTTTTTTTTTTTTTAGAAGCATGCACTTTTAGCTGACAAAAAAGGACCAAGAAATCATTAATCTCTTTCATAAAAAGTGAAACTAGCACATCGCTTTTAGTGTTATCAGTTTAAGTTCAACATTCAGCCTCACTGCTTTGAATCTACTCCAGATTCCCCGACAACTGTGGGCCATTTTTTCACTGTGTACAAAAAAAGAGGGAATTAAAGACTGCCAAAAAGATAAAATGACTTTTAGCTGCAAAACAGCCGTCACACATCCAAAACGAGAGAGAGAGAGAAAAAGTTACTGATAGGAAACAGCGTGATTTCTTCAAATGAGGATTACCCTGTAATAAGCACACTCTCTCCCCTTCAGTACCCCTGGTTCTGTGTGCCATATGGAGCCAAAATGGCCGCCTGGGTTCTTTGGAGGTCCCTGCATTCCGGGGCTAATGCTGCGCAGCTGGCGCAAGATGGTGTCTAATGAAAAATGCTCTCTTTGATGGGCCCTGCAGAGGGATTAGGTTCTGATCAACACCACCTTAGGTCAGCTTCCTGCTAGACCAGCACAAGATTATGGGTGATTTCCCAGCCGTGGGTCCAGTTTCTTTAGAGGTGAGGGGAGCGAATATGAGACACAAAGAAACAGAAAGAGAGAGAGAGGGAGAACCTTGGAGCTTCTAATTGAAGTACTTCCTGGTTCACTAAGATACCAAAACTCAAAGCTGTGGTTTCCAGTCTTTGACTTACCCTTAACTCCGATCTCCTTAGTGTGTGCATCTCAAAAGGGTAGATCTCAAGACTGTTAGAGGAATGCAATACTTCCATGTGGTGTTTACTACAGAAAATATAAAAGGGCTAGGCTCTGTGGGTGTGTCTAAGATGACTTATGCATAGGTTAAATATTATCTTGAATGTAGACACATTGGGATGCACATACACTAACTCTAAGCCTATGACAGACACAAAGCACACTGGCTTCAGCAGACCTTTGCTTCCCAGCAGGTAGAGCTGGTTGTACATACACACAGGTGAAAGTTCAGGCCCTACATCTGCAGTCCACATTTCAGCAAGAACCTGAATTTCAGTGTGTGTGTGTGTGTGTGTGTGTGTGTGTGTGTGTGTGTGTGTGTGTGTCAGAATAAGACATACTGTATTTTTTAAAGGCTTCGATAAAAGTGCTGTATAACTAGTCCCAGTCCCCCCGCATCTACACACGGAGAAAACACAAACACAATCTTTTCTCACTGTCAGCCCTGATGATAAACAATAGCTTGATAAAGACTACACTGTTCACAAGTTCTCTGACAAATATCTACATGACAGGCAGATTAACAGAGAAGCAAGGGAAGAGAAGGTAAGGGTGCAAAAGATAAAACTCTTAATTGCATGAAGAAAAAAACAACTATAAAAAAACACCTTTCATTGCATTATACAGCTGCATAATGTCCTCCTTCTTGAACAGTCAAACACACTTTTAGAAACAGCTTCTCCTGTATTAGTTTATACAGACTTATCTCTGCCTTCATTCTCCTGCTTAATTCAGTATTTTTCTGTTATATCATACATGAGTTCCCCCCTGCCTTTTGTAAGATTGTGGTAACTTGACTTGTAGAGACGACATCCTTTCGGAAAGCATCCATTTCTCTCGTCTGCCCTCCTATTCGTCACCCACCTTCTCTTGTGCGGTGTCCCTCTCCTGCTGGTGGTTTCTCTCAAGGTCGCTGCGAATGCGCTCCATGTCAGAGCGGAGCCGGTCCAGAGACGCCTCTTTGTCCAGGAACACTTTCTGTTTTTCCTCCTCCCAGAGCAACGCCATCTCAGCCAACTGTTGGTTATGCTGTGCATGGGCGCACTGAAGTTCATCGTGTAGACTTGATAACTGGGATTCCAGATCTGAAATTGCCTGAAAAGAGACAAAACAGAGACATGGGAGGGCGATTAAGGTGAGTGATACAGACCTGCAGATATAATGTGGCATTGAGACGAGGGGGGCTTCTTGGTGACGATTTCAAGGTATATCTGTTAAAAAGTAAAAGGAGATTGCCCTAACTGGTACACAAGAAATATGTTTTAGTTGCACTTTTATATGTTAGATGACTTTCCAGGAAAAGTCCACTTATGGGATCATTATAGCATTAAATATCTTTGTCCTTTGTTGTCTCGCCTCACATATTTCTGTATCGTTTGGTGTGACCACAAGCTGAGCAGGCTTTCTATAAAATAAACTGTAAGCGAGACTATTCAGAAAGTATAGGGTCAAAACACAAAAACAAAAATGTGTCGATAAAATCCCCACTTGGCATCTCCTCACTGAGAGATGTGAGGAAATCTAAAGGATATGCTGCAGATTTGAGCAGAGGGAGATTGAGTTACTGTATCTATGTGTGAATGAGTTCCTTTACGCTCAAACTAAAACATATGAAAGTTTCTAAAACACGCTTTCAAAGCGTTGGTTGTCCTCTGGGCTTTTTGTGTGGAGGCTGCTGTGATGACATGACCTTTCATTTGACCCCTGTCTCTTTTTGAACCGGCTCAGCCTCGACGCTGCCCAGCAGAGAGCTTTAATGGAGCTGCCAGTGAGAGTCAACAGTGTATAGTAGGAATGCTAATAAGCACAAACCCCACGGCCTCTGACAAAACAGAAAAATAAGACTGGTCTGACAATGCGCATGCAAACTAAATCTCCAGAGTTTGGGCAATGTTAAAAAGGAGAGGATGAGCTTACTGTTGTGTAAAAACGGCTCCACTGAGCTGGTGTGATTAAGATTGTTAGAGAAGCAGATGAAAAGAGGGCTTCAAGAATGATCTGGATTTAAATTTCACATTTTTCTAACTAAGAGGTCAACTACGAGGTCATATTGTGTATTTGTGATATACGCAACACATGTGACATTACTCAGTATAATATGATCTTTTGACTCCTATTCATGACAAGCAATGATCAAAAAGCTTGGTAGGTGCCTCTACGTTTGCACTGCAGAGTTTCACACGTTCTTACCTATATTGCACTTATTCCCCAGCTATTGCACATCCTCATTACTCTCTTTGGTTTACTTGGTTTCTATTTCGTACTTTGGGTTTGAACTTGGTGCTCTGCCTCATGCCCCCCCCCCTCTCCTCAAAAGCATGGGCATCCCAGGACAACGCCATGTTAAGGCAATCAGACAGAAAGTGTCTGAAGTCTTTTTTAGCGGGCACTGGGGAGAATCAAAGAGACTTCAAAGGGGTGTCACAAAAACAGGCAGATGCTGTGGCTCGGCGTTACACTCCCCCCTCCTCTTCTCTCCTCCTCCAGTCCTGACGCTGGCACACACAGACGGATCCACTTCTGCACACACATGCATACACGGGCAAAGAGCCACACGTGGTCGTACGCATTCACACACGGCATGGCATGCAATTTATAGAATAAGAGGTAAGAAACAAACATCCTGGATCTTCACGACCCACTCCCCCTGTCTCTTGAAATCACCAGTCTCATTGCTTTGCTTCTGCTTTCAAGGGCAACCAGCTATTAGATCTGAGCCCTGAAGAGTCTTTAATGTATAATTCTCTCTTTAACAAATGTGGCTGATCTGTCCTCTAAAAAGAGAGAGAGAAAAAAATCTTTTAATAAGTTAGAGTATAATCTGCCAGAACAGAGGCATTGGTGATGACACTTCAGAAAGTGAAGGAGGCCAAAAGAGCATGTTCTCTTTGGAAAGTGAGCGAGCACAGCCGCGTCCACGGGGCACATTTTTAGCATGCTGATGTGGAGCTTTGTGAGGAAGCAGCTCCTGGTGGTGACAATAGGAGGGTGTCTTGTGAAATGTACTGAGTCTAATGGTGTCAGCTATGAAGACAAAGGAGTGGCAGACAAACTGAAGAAAGAAACGGTAAAGATGGAACGCTGGTTAATGGATCACATCAAGTGAAAACGAGTTAAGTCAAACACAGATGCGAGCCAAAGTTAATGTTTTTTTTTTTTTTTTTACATGAATGACTACACAAACATGAAAGCATGACTGATGAGTTCTCTGATAGTATTCTCACCAATGTGCTTCTGTCCTTGCTAACTTGATCATGAAGTGTTAAGGCAGAATCCTTGACGGACTCAAGAACCAGGATGTGCTGGAAATACAGCAGACCATGGTCCCACTTTGGAAAGATGCCACTGCTCGTGATGCTTCTGTGATATAGGAGCGTTTGTTTTGTGAAGGAAAATTAGTCTTTTGATTAACATATGTAGAAGGATCTCTGCTTTGGAACCCTATTTTTGATCCACATGATAACAGATTAAAAATGGATAGCCATCAGTTCCAAATGTTTCAAACATTAGTCCAGTTTTGCTGCTTTGGGAATATGTTTGTGGATCCCTGCCAGATATGAACGATTGAATGAAATAAGAAGAAAGTGAAGATGTCATTACTATGAACAGGAAGTTGTTATGACTTGGCAAACAAAGGTGCATTTAATGGGAATTATAATGACTGTATTCCACAGTGGCAGTGGCAGCGCCCTGGTATTATTCATGCTGGCTTAATGACATGGCTCACAGGCACACCTCAATGGAACAGAGTTTGAATTCATCATTAGTTAGTGTACACTTGTGCTTTTCCTGCTGAGATGAATACATGCGAGTCAATAGTTAGCATTAGGATAACAGCTGGGACTTTTATTTATTTATTTATTTTTTAGCTCTGTTGGATTTAAACCTCACTTATGTTTAGGTGTTTCCCACGAGACAACTATGTTGTGTTTAGCTCAGAGTTAAATGAGAAGAGTTATACCACTATCATGTCAGCATATCATTGTGCATTGATTAAGCAAACTATTATTAAAGTGGCAATGAGTGAGCTTTGGGAGGTGATGGTAGGACAGAGCCAGGCTAGCTGTTTCCCCCCACTTTGAGTCTCTGTGCTAAGCTAAGCTAACTGCTCCTGCTAAAAAGATCTACATGACTGTGGGGTAAATCTTATTATCTGACTTTGGCAAGAAAAAACAAAGCACATTACAATACGGACCGTGTATGACCATGTCCTTCAACAACCTTTCACAACAGTCTGTGAAAAAACAACACTGCACTTATTTTCAAGCTGACCTTACCACAGTCTTATCACTTGTAACTTATTTATTGTGATAACTCTGTGTTTCCAGTCAAGTCTAAAAATCATTGTATTATTCCGGTCCAAGAAAATAAGGAAGAAGTGAGCTGCTTAACAAAATCAGAGACTAAAAGTGAAAATTTGACTAAATGGAATCAACTCATATCATGGAATGAAAACCATGTGATTAAGAAAAGGGTTCTATGTAACAACGCTGTATGAGAGAGAGACTTAAACACATCATCTGATCAATGCACTCAGAGCCTTAGCAACATAAAGGATACTAAGCAGTAAATTATTCTGACAGTTTCTGCCTGAAAAGAAATGAATGAATATTATATTAAGTGTTAAGATGGATATACGATATATAGAATGTATATGCCTTATGATGTGAAACTAAGCAAAGACAATGCAGGTAAGAGTGTCGTTACAAATGACTAACTGTTGTCAGCCACATGACTCTTCATCTGCAAAGCCTGATGTGATGTATGCACATACTAAATAGCTTCATAGTTTGAAAGGGAGCGGTATTACACAGCACATCACAGGGAATCAATCATCAGTGAGGACTCCGCTCGTGATCAATGCTCCTGAATGAAAAAAATTAAATCTGGGCTGGTCCAGAACTGCTCAGGCGTATATTGAAATCGTGATGAAATCATTTAGAGAATCACAAAATGCAGTGACATGTCCAGCTCAGCGGGATAGTCATCTGCTACGGAGTAACAAGACAATGATCCACTTGACAATACTCCGAGATGTCAGGGACCAATCATTTGGTAAATGACAACACACAAGCACCGCGACGATCAGTGCGCGCTCTGTTCTAGCTGTCCGCCTTGTTCTCTTCATCAGACATCCTATTTGACTTAATCTGTCATCACCCTCTTCATTTGACTCATCATGATCACGTACTCGGGATTGAAACGCTTTGAAAAATTGACAGCATCATTATTTAGTCCACCACGGCCCAGAAGAAAGACCTCACAAGGCTCCCGCTCTCTCCCATGCTGTTTGAAGTCCAGATGGCATGTACGTACGTTCCTTTAAAAAAAAAAGAAAAAGAAAAAAGAAAAGCATAATAATTCAGGAAAATAATACCTGATAAGTGAGTTTTAAGGAGGTGCCGGTAGAAGAAGAAAAAAGAAGAGAGAACAAACAATTCTGTCGTTTGTTTGCATCAAAAAGAAAAAGAAAACAAGGCTTCAATGAATTTATAATGCTGGCCCTAGTTTTTGAAGTCAAATTCTTGCTGATGTTCAAATATTGAGAAGCCGCATAAACTCAAAACTGAATGTATTTAGAAAAAAATATCTACTGTGAAATATATGAAATTATTTTATCCTATAATGCATTTAACTTTGACATTCTCCAAAGAATACTTTGTATAGTTTCACAGAGAATATAAAATAACAAGAGTTATTTGGCAGGTTTAAATCGTGGTGTGAGAGAGAAACTTTTCTTCTGGTGTGACTGGATGTGCAGATAATGTACGGTTTTTCATCGCAGAAAATCACAGGAGACGAAGCCATAAAGGAAGTCCACTACATCAGGATTTGAGTTTGTTAAGAGGGTACACTGATGTCTAACTAAAGTCTCTCTTCCGCTGGGGGGGCATTGATCAGCTAACAGCGCAACACCGATCTAGCTGGAGGCGATCATGTTTTACCAACATTTCATCATCCTGGACGGACAAGCGAAGCTTCCTTTCAAACTAAAAGGGTCAAATACAGTTAAAAAGAACGTTTATTCTTTTAAGAGACAAGAAAATTCAGATCCACAGGGATGGAAAGAGGGAGTTAATCCTCAGAGTCAGTGGGATGCCAACTACACACCATACCTTAAACTCAGCAGCTTAACTTTAATTGTTTTATTTGAGACATTATGACGTAGGCAAGGTGTTTTTAAAGGTAAAGAATGATGCAGTTTCTGAGTTTCTAAGAAAACGAACTCCATCAGGAGGAGGACAGTGTGTCCCTGAGTGTCTTTTTATTTTTTATTTTATCCCTTCCCTCCAATCGCCACTACGACTCATTGGCTCTGCTTCTCAAACACAGCACAAGTCAGGAATATGATTTATTATCGTCCCACCGCATCAAGGGGACGAGTGGGTGTGACTCATACTGTGGAGTGGATGACTGACGTTTGCTGTCACCTTAGCCAACTTCCTCACCGCGAAAGTCCTTCCACTGATTCCAGGAAGACTGAGAGAAAGTTTGAGGAGGAGAGAGGCAGAGATAATGAGGCCTGAGTTCAGTCGCTACAGCAGGCTGTTGAGTTGTCTGTCACCGGCATTCCGCACTCGATGATAATATTACGGTCCATCTGACCCCATGTGGAGAAAATATGTTGTTTGACGGGCATGGAAAAAGTCCTGAGACCCCAAGAAGCAAAAGAGAAATGAAAGGAGAGAAGAAGCTGTAGGATGTGCTCACATTTGTTTACTGTATGCTTAGACAAATTGCTGTTTTAAAAAAAAAATCTATTCACATTTTCAGAACTTCAGCAGCCCTGTGTTATGTGTCCAGAAAGGCTGTCAGAGAAAGCCACACAGCTATCAGCGTGGCAGTACATGTTCTCCAGGGGTAAACAACTTTGGTGTATAGCAAAAGTGTTTAATAATAAGTGGCTCTGCAAAATGTAAAAAAGGCTCATGTTTAATACATATCTGCTGCTGGTGTGTCAGCTTCTTGTCACTTTAACAGCGCCTCCGTGGAACAGCACTTTTCACAGGGAGTCAAGCAGGCTCACATCCTAACCAGTTTCCTCAGACCTCACAATCCTGTCCTCCATATTTCCAAGGCCTGAGTGAAAATGTGGCTTGCTGCCGCTTGAACATCTGACACACAGGCAGACGTCTGATCTGCACTCGAAATGCTGCGTGAGCAAGCTGAGCATATGAGATGAGTACAGGGGGTAAGTTTGTTTTCTGTCAGCTCCCGAAGATCCTAAATTTGTCAAACTATGCGTCACTTTGACACGAGCACGACGGCGCGTTATCAGCTGAAATGTCCTGTTGTGACGGCATCTCCAGAAAAAAAATAAAACACACACACACACACACACACTTAGCCGGTGCCATCGATGCTGTGAAAGGCATTTCCCCAAAAATATAAGACAAGGGAACATTTGGGAGGCAATGAAAGGGGAAAAAAAAACTCTTCTTTTCATTATATACAGCTTCATGCTTTTGAGACAGCCGAGCAGTTAAATAATGTACAGCTATGGCGGTTTAAGACTTCTTCTAGAGGTCTATAAAACGATTGCCTCCATGTGTCAGAGAAGTTATGAATAACAAATTACTCGAGGTAGCATCACTCCAGGGGCGAATTTTGAACAACAGCGGCTGCATTTTGTCCAGTTACCTTGTTAACACCTAAAATGTAACCAGTAATAAAACAAGTGAGCGCCTTCATTGTCTGATAGCGTTCCATTTTAAAGGAAAAATCACTTTGTTATTAAAGGTTAACATGAATCTCATCATACTTTTACGATGACTAAATAAAAAAAGCTAACGCTAAGTACGTTTTCTTCCCAAGTCATCGGAGCCTGATGCCATCTGTGCACACATTTGGTGTGAGCAAATTGTGTCCACAAAAACAACATATTTCCTCCTGAATCCCATCTCCAGCTATCAGTCAATAAAGTAAATCTCTGCACGCTGACTATGTCCATTGCATCAGGAAGCCTGAGGAGTCAAACACTACCCCAGCTGGGGTCTGGTTTGTCCAATGGCTTCCCACAGAGCTCCAAGCTAGCCCAGGCTGGAGAGAGGCGAAGACAGAGCTCGGGGTTTTGAGATGAAGACCTGCTGCTGGTTTGGTTAAACTCGAACAGAATAGCCTCTCAGTGTCAGATGAGTCCGTTAATATAGTCCCAAAATGTCAAACAGTCATTGTGTCCGCCAATGCTGCAATAAGAGAGTAACCACCGGTTTCCGGAGGGAGATGGCTACCTGCAGTGAGAGCAGAATGCTTACGTTGAGATTCACTTTCTGGGGAGTACAGGGAGCTTGACGCTGGTCTACAACCGTACAGCGGAAAATAAAAGACAAATTCAAGCCAGGGTGTTGGAATGAAAGCTTGGCGCTCAATTGAGCGAAATTTCTTCTCCTTCATCTGGCTACCTGTGGTTTCTGCATTTCAAGTCTTTTCACTTCTATCACAAAATCCTGCAGCGGTTAAAAAAAAGATCAGTTGGGACATTAAGTTAGGAAAGTGTTTTTTGTTTCGTATTTTCTCAATTAAAAAAAAAAACAAACTTTCTGTTACGCGTTTCATTGATTTTTTCGAAACTAAAGTTTATTCCAATTCAACGAGCAAAAATCCTTACTGTTCCGTGCACTCGCGCTAATATTACAGTGATTCTTTTAAATGATTCACACCCAATATCAATATCAGTTTTTGTTCAAGAGAAAAGGTGTCTTAACCCGCTGTGCTTTTGAAACCCCAGAATGGGCAAAAAACAAAATGGTTGTCCACAGGAGAGCGGTGGGTCAGCATGTGTGTGTGCAAACGTGGATCAGTGGAGACCCCCTACCTGGGCATCGCGCTTCCTCCACTCCTGGGTGTGCTGTTGGTGCTGTTGCAGGGCGGCCCTGGCCTGCCTCTCAAGGCTGCTCACCTCCCGCTGGCGCTCCTGGACCAGGCTGTCCTTTTCCGCGCTGTGCTGCTGCTGTAGCCGCGTCCTCTCCTGCTCGTGCTGCATGCGCTGCTCAGCCATCTGATTGGACAAGCAGGCAAAGAGAGACTTCATCAGCCAACACACACTCAGAGCAACCCTGTCGTCATGACAACTTGTCCATCCATTCATCCTCCCTTTTCGTCCTATTGCTTTCACCCCTTGTCTCCACCTAGAACACCCAAGAAATTAGGCAAAAATCAGAGAGAAGGTGGGGAGAGAGCGAGAAAAGTTTCTCTGCTTCCTCACATTGTCAGAGGTCGACATGATGTGATGTGTTTACATCTAGCTTGCGCCCCTCGCCCTCCCACCTCTGTTGCCAATTGAACGGACTGGCCCTCAACGTCCCTCTCCTCTCTCTCTCCAAATCTGTCCCCCTCGCCCTATTCTGTAATCGACATATAAAAGAGCAGTTAGTTTGGGCTAAGCACGGAGCTGGTAGGGGTTAGCCATCTGGCTGCAGAAGCTACCCAATGCCCCATGCTATGAGCCTGACAGCATGTGAAAATCGGCTTAGGCGATGAATATGATGACCATAATAAACAGAACGGGAAAAAAATGGAGGTGTCAAAGAAAGAGGAAATAAGTAGAAGAAGGAGATGCTAAACATTCTCGACACTGCTTTTACCTGCTAGTTTATTCTGAGGATGAATTCAAGCACTTTCAATTCCATTCACTCTGCTCACTAATCAATATCACAATTAATGGGATTATGCTTAAATAGCAATTACCAGCCAGCTATAATTGGGGTTTATGTTGCAAATGAAGGATATCTGAAGGCAGAGTTAAGACCTATCACTGAGAAGGCTTGGGTACAGTATACACATACAGTAGAATTCAGTCTTAGTGCATTAACAACCAGCTAAACACAATGAAGTTAAAAATAAAATACTTTTAATGGAACACAAAGGCCTCATTTCTCAGGGCATAATCATCCTGTCAACAGAAGCAAGTCTGGATTGCAGCACAACTGTGTGCAGAGTCACCTGCTGAGAGGTGAGCCTTGCCAGCAGAGCTCCCAGTCCAAAGCTCCAAGCCTTTCCCAGGCTCTGTTTCGTTCCCACTCCCCCATGGCGGGGGGGACCAGTGACCCCCACACGATCCTGCAGTGAAGCCTCAGCCGGTGCCATGAAAGGATTGCAGGGGCCTGGGGCCCATTTGCCTCCCTGCTTTGAAGCTAATCCCTAGCACATTGTGCTTGACGGCACCCTACCTGGGCAGGGAAGCGGAGATCCAGAGCCTGTATGCCCGGTGCCTCTCTATCCGTCCGCCTATCTTCGGCTGTTGCATGCTATTCAGAGCAGGTGATGAATGAGGGACTATCTACAGGAAGCCGGATTCCGTACCCAGCACCCAGGAGGAAGGCCACAATAGACACTTCATTTTGGCAGCCAAGGAATAACCCTTGAGCTTTTGGGAGAGCTTTGCTCAATGCCCTCTAAAAAAAGGCCAACGGGAAGAATTTTGAGCATGACAAAAAATGTTGTTTATCTTCGGATCTCAGAAACCCAAATCACATAAAGTACTCTGTTAGGATATCACAAATGCCGTTTCTTGAGGACTTAAGAGAACATCACATTAGAAAAACTCCAGGAAAGAATGTGGGCAACCTCTCCCACATGTTGCCACTAGAGAGCTGATGATGTGAACGCTATAACACAGACAGAGAAGTTTGCACTACCTTCATTTTCCATTCAAGAACGTGCGGGATGGAAATAAGATCCAGAGTCACAACACGTTGTCCTACAGGGAAAGTCAGAGTCATACAGCAGCTCAAGTTCGAGATGGAAATTGCTACCGAGAACTCCACAGCAGGACAGCAGGACATGCGGTAACAGAAACTGGGGGAGGACATCGTGGAGAGTCTCAGGCAATGGGGGAGGAAAGAGGGGATCTGACGTGAAACGAGAACGAAAAACTGGGCATGATAGATCCATTGTGAGTAAACTGCTAAAGAAAAAAGACGGTGAGTAGATGACAGAGAGCGGACCCAGCAAGGAGCCTGGTTGTGACATCACATAGCGGCAGCGTGAAGCGGAGGATGCTGGGTGCTGCGGTTCTTAAAGGGGCCGGTGTGGCGTTTGTGAGAGAAGGCTGAGTCGGTTAGAGCACAGCTTGGTGCCACAAATGCAGAGTGGGTACGGGGTGTTACTGCACAGCACGACTCCTGTCAGCCTATGCTGACATGGTTGTGCCTGTGTGCATTGCTGGCATTGAGATGGGACAGTGAGGTAATGGGCTCCTTTCAGCCCCAGGGGAGGAAATCTGAAATGTTTGGGGAAGGAGGAGGGTGTAGAGGAGAGCAGAACAGAAGCCCTGTCTGGTCTCAGCAGGGGAGGCTGGAGTGAGTGTGAAAGAGGAGGGAGAGATGAAGAGAGAAAAAACCCTTTATTCTTCACTGTAGGGGTTTAAAACTGAACATGACCAGTGAGTGGCGCTCAGTCTGGATCAGCGCTCAGTGAGAATCTGTGAGCAGAAATGACATACATTTGCACGTCTTGTTCGTCATGTATTGCCACATTCTAACATCTGAAGAGTGAGGCTGTTGAGATTTCCCTCAACTGTTAATGTCATGACCTCAGATCAGCCGTTTGACCTCACTACGTCACTCCGACGTCAAGTTGCAGAGTTCTGTCGGGACACCATGACGTCAAGCTGCCAGGAGATTCAGCTGGAAAACAACTCCTTCATACATAGCTCCCCCTTTTTAAAAGTCTGACTGAAGCTGCCCCCTTCGGGAAATATTCTTTTGTGAGCCTCTGAATGGACAAACTTGACCCCCGCAATCTTTTGGCACCAATCTCAGTGATGCAGGCATGAGAGAGCGGCTGAATACAAAGTGCTTGATGTTACACGTGAAGAACAACACAGTTAAAGGAATGTGCACAATACAAAAAAAACAACTGAGCTCACAGCAACTCATGAATAACAACATGTCTTCAGTGCATGTACATTTTTTCCACTTCCAATCTCACTGTGTAGCTAATGTCAACAGGACTCTTATCAACTTCATCCCAAAGACAGGCCCTTTGTCTTTATATGTTTTTATCTCAGAGACAAAAGCTGTCCTGATGTGCTGCTAACCCTGTGTAGTTTGCTTCAACTGTCAACTGCACCCCCCACTCTCGAGCAGCAGATGATAATCGTCAGTTGAATATTTCTTGCGATGCTTTGATTACTAACCTGTTTTTCACATGAGACAGAATTTATGATTCCTCAGAGCAATATTCAAAAAACACTAATGAGACGTCACAGTAACTGCATCGTTATAGAGCGATAAAAACGTCCTTTGTGCATCAGGACAAGATTTTTTATGGTTCAAAAAGCATTTTCTTTTACTTTATATGACAATAGCCCGTGTTGCAAGAACAAAAAAAAATGCATTTCTCATTTTCACCCTTTAAACTGTTTTTTTTTTGGTGGATGTTTCTAAAAGGTTTCGACATAATAAATACATCCTAATATTTTAAATCTATCATTGTCAACAATCACAAGAAATGTCTATAGTCCAGTTGTACAACCAAAAGCATTCCGCCATGGAGCAAACCAATAGCAAAGAAAGCATTTCTCTACTACTAGAGAACAACACTGGTCTTATATCCTCCGCTTTAAGCTATTTACAGACAATTACACGCAGCGTAAACTCCATCTGGCCTGGAAATGAGTGTTCACATGCTTATTAACCAGCAGACTGAGTGTTGGTGTGGTGAATGGAAATCAATCATGTCGTGGATTCAGATGGGAAGTGGTGATGTTTTACTCCATGCTAGATTTCCATTACAACAAAATCAGATTTTTTTTAACGTCTTAGGTGAACGAGGGCTGGGCGGTGAACTTTAAATGTAATGTTTATTTAACATGCTACCACTTTGAGCTATGAAAGTCACAGAGTCGTAACGGGGGGACGAAGTGATCCCACATCTGTACAGCTATGGGAGGTAGTAACAGAGGTGTTACAGGGGCGAGACAGAACGGCAGAGCCAGTGGGGAGAGCAGTGGTGTTTGTGTGTATTTCAGAGTGTGTGTATGTGAAGCACCCTTTGTTACTCTACACGTTGTGCTTCCACAACGCCATAACATGATTGGCACTCCAATATTACGCCGTTCTAGAGTCAATATGAGAGAACAAAGGTGTAGCTTCGTCATGGGCGGTTACAGACCTGCACTCTGAAAAGGGCTAGTGATTACTCTCTAAAAGGCAAAAAAATATTAGTTAAAATTTCCCAGAGCGAGAAAGAGACATCTGCAAAGTGCTCCTGCCATCAGGAACTGCAGCTTTTCCTTTTACTTCGTTTATTAAGATGAAACCAGCAAAGCTTTGACAACTTATGAAGTGATTCAAACTCAAATGGATTATCAAAGAACAGGACAACTCATTTCTCTCGATTGACTAATCAATTAATTGTGAGTTGAATTGGATCTGGAAAACTCAATCTCAGACTGACTAAAATGTCAGTGGCAGAAATAAACTCTGCTTCATGCTGTATATTCTACAATTATATTAATTATGGTCCAATTTCATTTAATGCTCTATATATGACATTTCTTCCTATCAGCAAGAAAATAGTTTCTATTCTCCTAATTGAAGAAGAGCGACAGAGATGTGATGATAAGAGGAAGGTGCGCCTGCTGCACAGATTGCTTTAAATTTCAATTGGCAACGTTTAAGATATTTACTGAGCTGCAATCCAAGCTTGAACTAAAGCGTGTCTCTTATCACGAGGAATAAATCAGCTGGAACAGATGGAGAGGAATACCAAGACTGAACCTAATCGATGTCAGTCCCCTCCGCTGGCTGCAGAGAGCCAAATGTTTGCTGCTAATAAAGGAAGGATAACAATGTGACGATGATGAAGGAGGTAAGAGGAGACATCATGAGCACAGAAGCAAAAACACAAATCACTCATGCAGATATACAGTAGGTCGTTAAACACATGCAGACACATCGATGGAGAGTTATAGACTCATACAGACCTGTTGCTCATATTTCTGTCTGAGTGCATCAAGTTGCTGGGAGAACTCTTTGGCCTGGTTCTCCCTGAGAAACTTGGAGCGGTTCAGGTCCTCCTCCACCTTCTCCATCTGTAACGAATAGCAAACTGTTCAATTTCATTTTCACTGTATAAGATTCATGGTAAATGGTAAATAGACTTTTCAATGCGCTTTTTGACTAAATGTCACATTCCCTTTCCCGTTACCCACAAATAATTTTTTATTTCACTGGTTTGAATTTTTTTTTTTTTCTTCAATTCAAAAAGGCTTGAATGCTTTTATTGTACTGTCTTAATCCAACAGGACTTTAATTCCTATTTAGAAACAAACAAGCTTTTATTTTGAAAGAAAATTAGGATCTTGTGATAGACCGAGGGGTACACTATTAACTTAACCACGTAAGAAGGGAGCTTGTAACAGATCGAAAAGAGGACGGTAAAAAAGGGAACTGTTTGATGACACGAGGTAGAGTTTACTGAGCTGTCTAGGAGTTTTTAAAGATTTCCTTTCAGGCTTTTTATGGCTCCACTGAAAAGATGGGAAAGTGGACAGTCGGAAATCAGGGATAGAGAGAGTGGGGAATGACCGCCTGTGCGGGAGTTTATTTTTCAAGTGAAATGAGCCCTTCAAAGGCCCAGAGGTGTCCGTCTACTACATCTCTGTGGTTACAGTAAGATGCTGTCAGTGCTGTCAGTGCGTTGGCTACGGTGCACATAAAGGGACAAAATAGAATGTGACAAAAAATAAATGGATGAATTAATACTGACCTCAATCGCTTAGAGAGTAATACGTTAATGCTGATGGCCTTACGTTAAACACATTATAATGTAACCTCAGCTACCTGGTCTTCATCCTGCTGATGTCAGCATGGATTTGAACGTTGGATTCATATTTTCAGCTACAGAGTTCTTCCAACCCACAGAGGGTTGAAGGTGCTGCATCTGGTTTGATTTGATTCACAATGCTAATGTGCTTGTTGGCTGACAATTAAATTTGATTCACTTTTTTATATAATTAATGTACAGTATGTTTGTGCTCCAGTGACGCGGTCAAATAAGCTCAAACTTACATGAAGTGGTTTTGAAGAATGAGGAACAGGGTCTTTAATAGAACCAGGTTTCGATCCCTATGTCTGTTTACTGAGCAAATTTCCACTGTGAGAAGAGGCTCTTTACCACAGACCCCTGAATCCACCTGTGATTTAAAAACTATTCATAATATTTCCTAAATCTACATTTTTCTTTGACTTAGGACATAAACTTTCGAATAAAATCCTGCTCTGTATATTTCAGTAGTTCTAGTGCATGCATGCATTGTTAATACGTGCAGAACTTACAAAACAAAAGCTTTCATCTGCGGCAGAGTGATGCTGCTGTTAACATTTTCTTTTAATTGCAAATTAATGAGGCGCCATCGGGAAGAAATATAATCAACATGTTAGGAACTTATTATAACGCCACGTTACTACAGCACATCAATGCATTCACTTATTCATCAAAGTGGAATATTACAATAGCTATGAAATATGTAATAGCAGTAGTTGACATTACATATTCACAGGTGCAAATAACTGCAGCTCAAGGACTCTTAAAAAAAGAGTTAGGTAAGACAAAGTAGTCGAGTTACTTCATCTGTGAGACCGTGTTTGTATTCTGTAAAAAATATGTCTTCCACAGTCTTCTACTTTTGTTTTTTTCTGTTCAGATGATAATAATCACCACAATTGGACATGTAATTCACTGAAATGCTTCTGTATCTCGCCTTTGCTGTGTGTGACGCTCAGGAAATGCTAAATTTGTTTTGATTAATCCTTTTTAAAATGCTGATGCCTCCTTTGAACTGCACGCAACAGAGATTTGATTCTGTATGGTGCTTCTTTTTTTCACAAGCCAAATAGGGCAGACTCTTTCCTTTAGTGCAGCCTGAAAGTGGGATGCTGGTTTCAAAATGAGAGAAAGACAGAAGAGAGGAAGAGAGTGATACAGATAATCCACTTAGATACAACACCATGAGCAGACAGAGAGGAAAGAGATGATGAGAGGAAAGATGGAAGGATAGGGGAGGGGGAGAAGGAGTACAAAACTTCTTCAAGTTCCTTCTTCAACATTAAAGCTGGAGCGGGAGAACGTGACGGAGTGACGAGAGGGGAAGACGGAGAGCGAATGACAGGGATAGAGAAGAGGCTGCTCCTCTCTCCTGTGGCTTTTATGTGGGCTGAGGATAAAGTCAGATTGGGGACCGGGATGCCAGGGGCTCAGAGGGAAAGAAGCATGAGCACGAGAAGCATGGAGCACGAGATGGGAGGATGAGAACAGGAGAAAGGAGTAGGAGGAGATAGTATGGCAAAACAGACATTTTCTAAGCATGAAGTGATGACGATATCACCCCCCTCCCACCCCAAACCCCCTCCCCAAAAACATGTAACCTTGTACTCCTAGAAATCAAATCAAAGTTTCCTTCCAGAAATTTGTGAAGGCCACTTTAAAGGTTTTAATATAAAAGACCTGTATTTCGTTTGTATTAGTTCCTTTGTTGTTTTTTGGTTTCTGTCTCTGCTTTTCTTTAAGTTTTAAGTGCATGCCATGCAAATGAAAAACATTTTGAATTGACTGTGGGGGAATAAAGATGCTGTGTGTGCCCACAAACATGCGTGCATAAATTCACCTCCCACACGGACTCTCACTTTCTTCACTTTAGCCAAACTTCACTAATCAGCGACTAAAACTTGCTAATCTCCTTAAAATGCAGCCCTTTAAAACATTCAGGGCCTCTCTCTGCGCTGTCGATACAGCACACTCACAGTACAGGTGGCAGAGGCTTCACAAAAATGCCTATAGCCAAACTGACTTGTAAGACAGCATCGATTGGAAACTCTTCCAATGAGCAGCAGCCCACGCAGAGCTGAGTGCTGATCGTGAGGCTGGCCTGACGTACTAATTAGTCTGGCTGCTTAATGCATGTGACCTGTTCTCCATGCAAACCTGGGCATCCCACGCCGCGCCCACCACAAGGAAGTGAGGTCAACATATGATCGCAGAGAAATGTGTGCACCTGCTTAATGAGCAGTATTATAACTCATTGCATTCATTTGGAATGAGTTACAGATTGGAAATAGCCTCGGGAGGATGATGTTCTGGGTTCTCACTTATACATTTTTCAGTATAGGAGCAGATGAGGAGGAAGAGAGAGAGACAGAGACGGAATGTCATAAGGTCAGAAGAATTCAAGCGCAGCCAGCATGGCGCCCTGTTGCATCTGCGGTCAGGCTGTGTTTCTGCAACTTCGAAATATGTGTGCATATGCGTGTGTGCTGCTGCATTGTCTTGGTTACTGCCTGTCAAAACGCTCACTCTCCCAATGGTGAAAATGTGAGAGGGTGAGGGTAAAAGTGCAAATATGTATCTGTTTAAACGCACACAACAGGAGACCAAAAATGAGCTAATATGCAGCACATGCATGATTATCAGAGAGTGACTCATTGAATATACAGTATGCATACAAATAATAGAAAACAGGTGTGCATGGAAACTGCTGGTTTTTTTGTTTTGCTTACATACAACCCTTAAGTGTTGGGACAATGTGTAAAATGTAAATCAAAAACAGAATGGGATGATTTGCAAAACATTGAAACCCTATATTTTTTCTGTAAATAGTACTACAAAGACAATACATTTTGGGAAAATTAGATTAAAATTTCAATTTTGATGCCAGCAACACGTTCAAAAAAATTCCAGACAGGGTCAGGTTTACCACTCTTCTCCTCTTCTTCGTATACAATTTGTGTTTTGGGAACCAACGAAGACATGTTCACGAAACCTCCAAAGTGGAATGTTTGATCATTCTTGCTTGATGTAGAATTTCAGCTGTTCAACAGTTTCAGGACTACTTTTTGACTATTTTACGTTAATAATGCACCAAATATTTTCACAAAGGATGATAAGTCTCAATTGCAGTTGATCACCCGGACTCTTGTACTACAGAGGCATGCTGCTGTATAACCTGTAGAATGTGGGTTGGCATTGTCTTGTTAAAATAAGTAAGGCCTTCCCTGAGCAAGAAGTTGTTGATTTTGCAGCATAGGTTGTTCCAAAACTTGAACATATCATTCAGCCTTATAGGACAATATATGCATTTATATTATGCACAAATGTGCAGGTTATCTGCAGATGCCATGTGCGATATTGCATCCCCATCACAGATGCCTGCTTTTGAACTGGGTGGTGATAACAAGCCTGATGGTCCCTCTCCTCTGCAGCCCAGAGGACACAGCGTCCATTATTTTGAAACAGAGAGTCAAATTTGGACTTGTCAGGACAAGTGTTGAACTCAGGACAGTTTTCCACTTTGCCTCAGTCCACTTTAAATGAGCCCTGAACCAGAGTAGGCGCCAATATTTCTGGATCTGGTAAATATATGGTTTCCAATATGCATGGTACAGTTTGAGTTTGAGTTTGAGTTTGTGAATGTAGTGATGATATGTATTCACACACAATGGATTCTGGAAGTGTTCCTGTCTGAGCCCGGTGATGTCAACTACAGAATCGTTTCTGTTTTTGTGCAGAGCCCGAAGTGCACGGACATCCAACCATTGTTTTTGTGCCTTGTGGTCTGCATGAAGGGATTTCTTCAGATTCTTTTATTTTATCCTAAATATTTGTGTGTGCGTGTGCGTGTAATCAGACCTGGAGTTTCATGTCCACATATGCCTTCTCCGAACTGAGCTCCACCTGCCTCTTGAACTGCTCCAGTGCGATATCAGCCTGCTGGATCTGCTGCCTTTGGCTCTCCCTGGCTCGGTCCAGCTGGCTCTCCATCTCTCTTCAAAACCAAACACACACACGCACACACATAGAATAAGTAAATTAAGCCATAAAAAGACCAGAAATCCAGACATTCTTTGTTCAGAAAGTTATCTTTGTATTAAAATTTCCAAAACAGTCGTTACGAAGGGCTTTCATGTTGGATGAAAAAGAAAGAGAAGAAATACAAAGACGGATATAGAAGCAAGCTGAACTCAGAGCATGATTTGTTTTCCACTTAATTGTGCTGATATCTGAAAATAGACGGCAAAAAATACTTGAGAATCATTTGATAACATTTCTTATTTTTGTCATGTTCTTTTGATTTAAAGAGTAGTGTGAAGAGGGGAGAAAATAGGATCTTTTTAGCATAGAATTCTACACTGTCACCTTGAATAACCTTTGTTTGTGTGTGTGTGTGTGTGTGTGTGTGTGTGTGTGTGTGTGTGTGTGTGTGTGTGTGTGTGTGTGTGTGTGTGTGTGTGTGTGTGTGTGTGTGTGTCTTCAACATAGGTTCACACTGCTGCAACTGATGCTAGATGTCAGGTCAGAGAGCTGCAGGATGACGGGTAAACGAAGAGGGACAGCAGATACCGAGAGCTGTCAGTGCCCAGGTGAGAGGAACCAGCCACAAATTCATAAACAGCCGTACCAATCAGCTGTCAAATCCAGCCCACGGAGGGTTTGTGGGTTTATGTGTATGTAGGGGGACAGGAGCACATGTCAGGATGGATGGATAGAGTATGGATAAGATCGACAGCACTGGAAGAGAAGGACGAGTACGGAGGTGTTGTTTTTGTAAACAAACCTCAGGATTTGCATTGTGAGATTCAAAGTCAGATAGCGATCATGTCATTAATCTTATTTCTCTATAAAGGATGTGTAGTTCAGGCAAAGACACTTTAACAGCATGTTATTTGATTCGAGGTTCACCTTCCTCATTTACCATGATTCTTTTAGGCGACTGGCAAGAACAAACAAATATCAGGGAAACAAAAAGTGCTCCTTATTATGACTGATGATGAAACTCTATCAAGTCACACACAGTGTGAATTTCATACAACATACCAAAACTTGCTAACATTTGCCAGATTTGATCTACTATTCAACACTTGTCATATGACATTCATAACAGATTAGGTTTAAAAGAAGAAAATGTTGCTTGAATTCGCTTCATAATTTGGAAAATATTACCATTATCATCATTGTTTGTTGTTTCTAAAGCCGGGCGATTACAGACAGGAATTTATTAAGTTTTCCTCACAATATTTTGGAGTGTGCCATTTCTTTGAAAACATAAAGGTTAATATCTCATCCTGCACTTGGTTGATTTACTCATTAAACTCGTATTAAATAATCATCCTAGTTTTGTCATAAATGCTTCAACACAAACAGCTTCTTTGCACAGCTGTGAAATTACCAACTTTTTACTAAAACCCTTCAAAGTAAGAACAAGTTTTTATTCTCTTGTGCTTGTTTTGCATAAGTAGTGCATGTTTGATTAGCTGCTGAAAAATGGTGTTACATTTTCATAAAAACTGTTCACCTTTGACCTGAAACACCAGCTGAAGCAGATTCCTCTGTGCAGCAGAGATACATCTGCTCAGCAGTTCTCTGCTGCAGGGGTTCTTCTTCTACTGATTAATGCACAAAGATGACAACGGAGGAGAGAGAGGATGACTGTCTTAGCAGAGTTTTCTTTTTCATTTTAAGTATGTCTTTTCTGGCAACTTGTGAATTTCTGTTTGGATGATTATTCCCTGTGGAGGAAATAATTACTTCTTGGCCAGTGGGTAAGACTTTAGACCAATTAGAAGTGCAGCTATTACAAAATGACAACACACACACACCACGGGAGGAGGACGAGGGCACTTGGCGCATTTAACTGTATTTCAAAAAGCTGGAGGACTCAGTGTGTGTGTGTGTGTGTTTGTGTGTGTTCATAAATTCATCCCAAGGGTAAGGATCATTAACACACACACATATAGAAGAACTGTATAGAGTAAGCTATAGTCTAATCCTGCACACACATATTTATAAAGTTTGCATTTTTGAACACTGATAAATCACTTCTCATAGTCAGAACAATATCTTGAAGGGTTTATAAAGATAGAACAATGAATGGAAAAACAATGGAAACAGAAAGACAGACAGAGGAGATAAAAACAGCAAAATGAAAAGAGGAGACAAAAAAAAAGCAAAGAGCAGAGGCAGAGGATTGAAAAAGGAATGTGCAAGCTTTCTCTTCTCTTTACAGTGTTCTGTCTCTTTGTAATTTTGGTCTCTCTCATGTCGGACATCAAACGCCAAAGAAATTGTTTTTTCTCTCTCTCTCTCCCAATTTTGTGTACTCTGTAATTATTAATCAGTCTCGTTGCATGACTGCCTTCCGGGCTCCGACAGACACAAAGGATGTGTGGAGAGACTAAGATGGGGTGGGAAAAAAAAAAAAGAGGAAAGAAAGACGAAAAAAGAGTGAGGAAGATGGAAAAGAGGATGTCACAGAAATAGAAAGTTTTTTAAACTTCTAAGGCAGAGCAGAAATGAATTGGGTGTGTGTCTCGCTTGAGAGGCGTTGGAGTGCACGTGCGTGTGTATAGGGGCCTTTGTTCATGAGCTACAGTCCCAAAGTCTGTGTGTGACTGACAACTCTACTCAAGGAAATGCTCTATGACTAAGTCTGAGCTGGCTGCTGGGTCTACACCTCAGAGGAAACGCCAAAAAAAGTCACTGAAGCGAACTTCAAGTATTTGACAGACTGAAACATATTATACTCTAACAGTGGGGAGAGCAGGTGAACACATGGCACCTTCCTCTGAGAATAGCTGTGCTTCTGTGTATTTCTGCGAGTGACTGCGTGTGGTCACTGGAGCAGTAGACTGTGTGTCACCATCAATAACAGAGCAATGAGGGTGAGATGAGAGGACAGAGAAAAAGAGTCAGGGAGGCCTGGCAGGGAGAAACACAAGAGGGTAGAGGAAAGAGAGGGGTGCCAGCTCCAGGGCGGCCGGTTGGCTTTAAATGGATCTCTGGTCAGAAAAGTGGAAGGAGAGGAGGCTCAAATTAAAGATGTGCCTTCTCTTAAGAGGAAGTCCTCTCATCCCTCAATCCTAAAGGGCTGTTTAAAGGGGAGGAAGAGAGGGAGAGGAGTGTTTGTTCTGCAGAGGGTGAGGGAGCTTCCGCCATCCAGCCGCCTGGCAGACAGGAGGGATGCCGGCGTTTTCCGGACTGCCCTGACCACACAATGCCACGTGCCTGCTGTGGCGACTCACTGTATATAAACAGTAACATACACGTGCATTTCACTCAAGAGTACACATTAAAGGTAGTACACAAAGAGCCCATTGTAATTGCTTATGCAAATATTCTTGTCATGTAAGCGGAGTATTTAAGGTTTGTATGGGCTGTTATGTGGGTGGAACAGTGCATGGAAAAGACTGACAAACGGACTAGAATGCACGCTCGCTTCTAGTCTAAGAAGACAAGAGAGCGAGGGTGTGTTTGAGCAACGTGGTGTGTGTGTGCGCGCGCGCGAGTGCACACGAGTGCACACGAGTGCCCGCGCATCAGCGTCTGTGAGCTCATCCGAACGGAATGATAACGAATCCACAGACACATCAAAGGGGGCCTGGAAAAGAAAGAAAGAGGGAGCACAGAAAAAGAGAGAGAGAAAATGCAAAAAAAAAACTGAGATATTCGGCGCCCTCTGAAGAGAAAATAAAACAGACTTGGTTTTCATCCGCATCCCCAGAGAAAAAAGAGAAAAGGGAGAGAAAATAATAAAAGACAGAAAACAGACGCAGAATAGGAGACAGACCACAAATAAAGAGAGATTGCACAAGGGCAACAAAATATTAAAGACAGAGAGAGTTAAATAGACAGAGAGAGTGAGAGAGAAGAAAACAAAATCATTGAGCTTGAAGGCTTTAAAACTGCCTACACATGTGGCCTGTTTATAATTTGACATCAGGATGTGGCATAAAATGGCCACAGAGTATACGCAGGAACGATGAGTCATTACTATCACACCTCAGCATCAGCATCAGTACACACCAGTCTTTTGGGTAATTGCCTCAGTAGTGTCACTACAAGTGAGCGTAGAAATATAACCACCTCCCTGTACTTGTTTGTACTTTTCAGTATTTTACCAGCCTTGTGGCTTTAAAGGTCACATACTTTCCTCTTTTTCAACCACTTTAAATAAGGCTCAGAGCTCCCCAAAAACATGTCTGTGAATTTTCTTGTTCTAAATCCACTCTGGTCCTGTATTTGATCATATCTATAAACCCCTCTATTTCAGCCCTGCTCAGAACAGGCTGTTTCTGTGTCTGTAGCTTTAAATGTAAATGAGCTGTGTCTGACCGCGCCCCCTCTCTGGAAGGAGATGTGGCTCAGGCTTTCTTGCTCCATGTCCTATTGTTTACGGTGAGAAGGCAGACTCAGGGCAGAACAAACACCTAGCTGTGGGAGTGTCACCCACCTGGGGGAGGGGATTACTGCCCTTTGTAATGTCATGAAGGGATGATCTCCAAGCGGCCTGTTTGAGGACACATTTTCTGAAAAAGTGGAGCAGGCAAAAGAAGGAGAGGATGTATTTTATTCATAATTGGGGGATTAAACAGGCTAGGGACACATATTAGTGTTAGAAAAACATGTTTAATATATTTTGTTTATATGCGATATGTGACCATTAAAGCTGACTGTAAACTTTCTTAAGCAGAAATGACAAAAAATATCTTCAAACTGAGAATATTTTCTGGGTTCCTAAGACTTCCATGAAAGTTATTTTAACATTTTTAGGCTTTGAACTTTTGGCCAAAAAACCAGGCCAGCAGGGTGTCCAAGACAAGGTTACAATTTCTGACATTTTAAATAAAAAAATCTATCAAGTAACTGGTATATTAAACACATGATGGAATTAATTGTTGGTTGCAGCGCTTCATAGAGTCCTTTTAAAGAAAGTTCAAGACTAGCTTTAGCCCCTGTTTGCTGCATGCTGCAGGAGGGAAAAGGGCTTAG